AATATTGACATACTCATTAAGATAATTACACATGCGCAGGTATGCAAACTGTCGAGAAGGACATCGGACTCAAGGAATAAAGGAAAAAGAAGAAGCCTGTGGTCCAACTATCTGACAAAAATAAAGATCCCTTTATGATGATGGATCTCACAGTCCAAACAAGAGATAAGGATAAAATATTAAATCTGTCTTCCGTCTCTATTGAAATGGAAACCACAGAGATTCTCAATAAGGGACTAAATTTTGCACTTCGGAATGAAGAGAAGGCAATCAAGGACATTTTATTGGAGGCGATAAATACATCTGAGAAGCTACGTGAAGAATCAAAAAGAGCTGGAAATGGAAATCCTCCCAACAATCTTGGCGCATCAAGAACCAAAGGATAGGAACAATATAACTAAGATATATAGAAAATTGATAAGAAACGATCAAATAGCCTAACAAAATGACAAAGGAGGTGATGGAGACGAAGGAATAAACAGAGATAAGGGAAAATATTTTCGAAAACATTACAACTTATCGGTTAGTAGCAAAAGATATAACAGTTAAAAGTAGAGGCATTGCAAGAAATTCTTAATAAAATGAATATGAACGGGGAAATAGAAAAATAGACAATGAATTCACTCATATGAAAGGATACAAGAGTTTTAGTAGCATACAGTTTACCGAAGGTACACAAAAGAGAACCATTGAAACTGATAGTCAGCAACAAACATAGACTAACACATAAATTAGCTAAATTTATCTGCCCTTAATTAAAGAAAGTGAATTACGGATTATCGAATACAATAAAGAATTCATAAGAACTACCTATTTCACGTTCAACGGCCGCAACTGTGAGTAAATATTTGGTCTGCCTATGGGCTCACCACTCTTACCTCTGTTGGTTAACGCTTACATGGACAAGTCGAAGGAGAATTTCACAATATTACCTCAGCAGCCAACAGTAACTATGCTATATTTGGATGAATACTTCGCAATCTGGTGACATGGAATAGAGTAATTAGACTATTTCCTGATCTTCATAAACGAAATAAATGAAAAAGTCAAAGTTACCATGGATGGCCAACAGATCGGGCTGTTACAAGATTTTGTATTCATGCAATAGCGCTTATGTAGAGGTTATCTGAACACAAAGCAGCCTGCAAGGGTGTGGGTCCAAAAATCGGAATTGGCCGAGTGCATGGCTCGCACATGACACCAAACGTTTAGTTGGATATAGGGACTATATCAGTGAGCGAAATACTAGAGAAGCATAGAAATAAACAAAACGGCCAACACTCTGAATAGAAGAAATGGGTGTAGGAAGTTAAGTGGAAATTACTTGTAGCTGTTGGTTTGGATTAGAGAGAGAGAGAAAGAGAAATACCACCGAGCAAGAGAAGGCTTGATTAGACTCGAATCTAGTTTTAACTATCATATTACACCCATTTCAAGAGCAATGCATTCACACAGCACGTGTGCAATGGAACTATGATCATATCCAAAGACTGAGATAAGAATTACGCCATGACCCAAGACCAGTGATTCAGGCTTGTGGTCAGTCCTCTCGCCTCGAGAGATATTTATAAGAGAAGTAACCGAGAGGCCGAAGCTTACTCTTTTTGTTGAATATTGCGAGGACAGTCGGCCGGATCCGGGCCAGGAAACCGTGAAGTGTAGATCTGTTGGCTGAAGGGAAAGAAGATTTGCAAGACTCGGGCAAAGCGAATAGACTGAATGAGGGTATTCATTTCAAGCAGAAATACGTCGTGGCTAAACACGAGAAGGCAATTCTCAATACCAGCAGCCAGGCGCATTGTCTCGATCAGCACTGCCAGGTATTGAGTTCGGTTGTGCACCTGTAAAATATAGCAAAAAATAAACCGCTTATTGTCCCTATACAGCTCGATAACCTGATATTAAGCTCATATCCTGGCCTGGAGATGCTCCTTAAAAGTAGAATAATGCGTTCTACTCAAACGCCAAAAGAAACCAGTTCACTCTTAGTCCAAATGCAGGTGGTTTGAAAAATTTAAACTCTTTGTGCTAGACCACAGCTAAACTAATGCACCCACTGCTTATACGACTTGGGTCCGTCTGGCTCACCATAACAAATAGTGTATTTGCCATTCTCAATTTTTCGATGCAGAACTCCGCTAAACAGTCTGCTTTTTCGTCCAAACCGGCCCCATAAATCGAATCAGAAACCGGTTAAGAGACATAGGACTAGCCAGGTGGCCAAATAAAGGTGGCTAAAGTTATCGCTTACGTCCTTAATTGGAAACCCAATGCTTGCAAGACTGAGGCCTAGGCTATCTAGTGCATCGCTATAACTAATTGAGAACTTAATCCCTTAAGCGCTAACATAAGGACTGCATCAGAGACATTCAATGCATGATGGGTCTGTGTCCTATAATATAGGACCTTATTCCAATATAAACTCTTCTATAGTTTAATAGTAGATAAAATGATCAAGGTGTTGTGGCCTATTTTTTAGTCGTGATCTCTTTCCTCTGCATAGAAGTCGTTTGACCTCGTTCTAGTAACTTGGTCGTGGTGTCGTGTACCCTGACCAAGATTTAACGCAGGGGAGTATTGCATCTATTATATCAGACGACTTCGGACAAGGTGCATCCACCTAGCTCACCTTGGTCGTATGGCAAACTTGAAAAAAAGAGGTCAAACAATTTATATAAAATTTTCCTGCCATCTGCCAGCTCAACTAAATATTCCTTAATAAACATTAACGGCTCAGATAAACAGATAAGGCTCTACATGGTGATACCATTGTGAGGTACGCTATGTTTCATTTGTCCTCAGAGGTAATGCTCCTCTAGGAGTACATTTCATCACTATGATGCTTTGGATATAAAGAGCTGGAAACTAAAAAAGCAAACAAATTTAGCGGATCCAGACGAAGAAAAGAGAAGAAATGCAAACCAATGAGAGTCTCTCCGAGGACGTTTTGGAGAATAATATAGTTGCCAAACCTCGAGATAGTGGGCTATGGCTGTGGTAGACATGATTAGCAGATAAGAAAAGCCAGATAAGATAGTGGAAATTAAAATAAATTGTAAGTAAAAACTCGTAGTCCTGGGCCAAGTGAGATTGTTGCTAATTAATTTTGTTTTAAATGGATTAGGACACATGATCTCAGAGATTTGAAATTTACAGACTTCAATGCTAAGCGAAGTTTGGTATCAGTTCCAGTCACTCGATAAGTTATTTAAAGTTAAATCCCCAAAAGTTTGACAGTTATGAGAGAACGAAGTAAAGCAGTCAAAAGGGTGATAAAGTGGGAACAATAATGACGGGCTTTTAAGTTGATAAGAGACAATATAATTTCTGAAAATGGGTTGACTTCGTTTGCGCAAC